GAGGAATTTAAAGTTGTCCTTAGTTAAATGTTGATTCAAGTCCAATATGAGCTACTCAAAACCATGTCTCAAAACAGTAGCAAGAAAAGATGACACATAAATATCTTGAAGCAAGCAAGCACACACGTGGGCGCACACACGCACACGCACAGGCTGCTGATATCACTCGCGTTTCACCATTAGAAACACCCGGACTGATACACCCACGCTATCATTCCAGTGCACTAGGCTGGCCCATCATAAGGAGTACAGCAGCAAGTGCTGGCAGAACATGGGGACGGCAGAGCCCTTTTAGCATGCTGGTGGGGAGGTAAAATAATGAGTATCCAGTTTCTTCAAATGTTAACAAACTTGCCATGGAACCCAGCAATGCTTGCTATTTTGTTGTTTGTTGTCTTTTGTATCTACCTGAGAAAAATGCCATGTCCACACAAAGACCAAGCCACAAATATCTATCATAGCTACATACATGACAGCCAATTGCAGAAACACCTGGAATGTGTGGCAGCTGATGAAGGAGCAATCCAAGCATGGTTTATCCCTGCAAGGGGACATTCTTGTCAAAGGAATTACTAATACCACAGTGCGGGCAAACCTCGAAACGCCTGCCTGTGAGAGTGGCCAGACACTGAACTCAACAAGTCGTGAGACTCCATTCAGTGTCCAGAAAGTGTCCAGAAAAGGCAAATCTATAAGACAAGCAAGTGGGCTGGTGCTTGCCTGGGCTGACGGAGGGAAGAGGAAGTGACATCTGCCGGGTCTGGGAGCACGCTGAGGAGATGGAAATATTCTAAAATTGGATGGCGGTGATGGCTGCGCAGCTAGATAAACTTACTAAAATCATAGAGTTGTGGGCGAACTTCTGAAACTGCTCGAAGTGGGTGGATTTTTATAGAATGTAAATCACACCCTAACGAAGTGGTTTTAAAAATACCTTTTTGCAGATTTTATTAGGTTTCTATTTAATTCTCTGAACTGTTTAAAGTGACTCAGAGTATTAGTTTAGGAAGAATTTGCCTTAAAAATAAAAATGTCAGCTATCTGAAAGACATAGCCAGCTCTGCTCTTGTTCTTGGGAATACTCTGGGGAGGAGGAAGGAGGGCACGGTACTCTAGCACATCCTGAGCACCTCGTGGCCACTGCAACCATGTCCATTCTGAGGCTGGGCAAAGCTCCACCGCCCTTGGCCTTCCGAACCACCTCCTGCCTCGCCCCCCTCCCCCAAACCTAAGCGTGCAGCTCTCTCCAACCTGGCCTCCATAACATACTCTCCTTATAGTTGCCTTTTCCACGGATCCCGAGCTCCGCAAGGAAGAGTGCAGCATCTATACAAAGCTTCTCCGGGAACGGAGGAATGGGATCACCTGAGAAGCCCGCATAAGGCTGGGGCTGAGGTCTTTGGTGCATTTCAGAGAAAAGCAGTTTAGAAGGTTACTGGGAGGTAAGGGGTGGACAAAGAGGATGCACACCTGGGCCAGGTTTGCAAACTGCTGGAGCGTAAATCTCCCCACAGCTGTCGGCCAGCAGGGGGCGCCGCTGCCAGCAACTCCGCGATCTGAGTACCCACAGTTCTAAGACTAGGGGTGGCCCCGTGGGAACTAGGGTGGACAAGAACGCTAAGTAACCCGGTGTCCTGACCACGCCCTAGTTCAGCCCTCTACTTTGCCTCAGACTGTGTCCCTCCACAAAGAGGCCCCATGGCTTCAGGCGTGAGACTACCGCTCTGAGCCCTGGATGAAAGAGAACCACCACTCCTCCCTCACCACCAGGGTGAAATATCTCATAGCCAGCCTCGCGCTAGGACGACCCGCAGACCCTGAAGGCAAAATATAAAGCTTTCACCTCCTTTTTATCCATGAGGGCATCAGGTGGAAGAAAGGCTGGAGATGAAGACCTGACCAGCGCCTACAGCCTGGAGCTGTGCTGGCTCTTTCTATTGCAATGCCAACAAACTAGGGTCAGGCTCTGTGTGCCCTGTACGGGAGGTAGGACCTGTGGGTCCCCCTCGCCACGCCCAGTGGTGTCCTGGTGAAACCTGGACAAAGGGTCACTTTTGTCGATCCTCCTTCAGGTCTTATAACAGGCTCAGGGTGCCCACAGCTAATCAGGCCAGCAGGGTCAGGTACCTGCCAGAAGAGGAGGCCTGGCCCAGTTGACCACATAGTGGGGACAGAATGTCCCAAAGGCTAGAGGACAAGGAGGGCGGGGCAGGAGAAGGCCAGCGGACCAGAGCCGGAATCCCCAGTGCCACCCAGGCCTAGAGGACTGATGCCCCCGGATAAGCAGAGTTCTCTGGCCCTAACCAGTCAACACAGTTCAGGCCTGCTCCCTCCTGCTCCCACACACTTGTCCTCGGGTGCTTGGGGGAGGGGCCTCACGTGTACGGGTATCATAGGGCGGGATCTTTCCCAGGCTGTGCAGTCTCCTGCCTGGCTGGGTCAGACTGACCTTCTAACTCCCAAACTATCTGAACCATACCTCCTCCTCCCAGTCTTGGAGAACTGCCTCTCAGGTTATTGTCAGTATTCTCTCTGTCTGTCTCTGTCTGTCTGTCTGTCTGTCTGTCTGTCTCTCACACATACTCACATGTACATACACCACCACCACCCTTGGGGAATATACCCTAAATTTCCCTTTCCCTGAGTTCTCTGGGGGTAGAACTACCAACTGTCCAGGTAGATGAAGTTCAGGATGCAGGGTCCTGAGATGTTCGTCAAACCTGCACCCCATGGGAAGAAGAGATACCTCTGCAGGTAAAAGCTTGTTGTCAAGCGCTATGTCCTGAGCTGGATCCCCAGGATCTTCATGGTATTGGAGAACCTACTGCTGCAAGTTGTCCCCGACCTCTGTATGCGTGCACACACAAATTGGTAAATGTAATAAAATTTTAAAAATTAAGTTTTAGAAATGAAACCTGTACTACAGACAGTCATCAGTGGCCAACTCTATCTCGGGATGCACACTCATGTGGCCCTACTGTCCAGAAGGCTGGCCAGGGTGAAGACCAGGTACACAGTGACAACGGCCCCCACTCTGTGCCAGCCTGTCTTTCTCCCAGCTCCAGGCTGCTCCTCTATAGCCATCTTCTTCCTTCCACCAGATCCCTGGTTAGTTCCCAAGAAACTGCCAACAGGAGTCTCCTCCACATGCTACTTTGCCCTTTGAGTGGGGGAGGGTGAGTCATTGTGACAGCAGTGTCATATGGGGGTGGGAGTAGGAAGAACACTCTAGTATGGGCAGCAGGCTCAGCCTAGGTTAATTCTGCACAGACGCATACATACACGCATGTGCCAGCCCACATAGACAGTTATATTGGGGCACATGCACAAATATATTAAGACCTACTTGGAACCATAAAAAAAAAAAAAAAATAAGTAAAAAAAATATAGGTTCTCACGAGACCCATTTTCATAAACATACGAACATATGGGTACAAACATGTGCACACACAAACAAACAAACGTACTTGGTATTTCACACACCCACTGACACACTCATACTTAAATGCACACACTTTGCACATCTACGTGGACTAACTAACACATACAGAACACAAAGTTACATGCATCCTTTGGTGGATTGACAGATCCTGCTGGCTTTTTCCACAGGAGGCCTCTTCAGGGCCCGAACTGGAGCTAGGCCAACACTGAGACCCAGGCTCTCTCAGATCCAGGCACTGTGCTTAGGTAGGCCCTGCAGGATCCCAGATATGTGTGGTCACGAGCTGCCTGTTCTGCTCCGATCCCACCTCTCAGCAGCAGGACCAGCAGGAAAAGGCATCCCTGGGCCCTGCTTAGCCTTTGCCACTGAGGTCAGCCTCCCTGTCCTTGGACCCTTTCCTCAGCTACCTTGAGTAGAGCAGACTATGCTACTGGAGCACTAGACCAACCAGGAAAGGGGTCCTCAGGCATATGGGTCTTACCTTCTCTCTCCTTAAAGCTTAAGCTATTCTTGGAGCTATGTGTGTTGTGTGTATGTGTGTGTGCATGTGAGTGTGTGTGTGTGTGTGTGTGTGCACGTGTGTGCGTGTGTGTGTGTGCGTGTAAGTATATGTGAGAGAGAGAGAGTTGGGGGGGACTAGGTCCAGCTTAGTAGACCAGGCTGGCCTTGAACTTACAGCAATCCTCCTGCCTCTGCCTCCCAAGTGCGACCACATAGGCCTGGGCTATTGTGAGCACTGGTCTGCTGGTATCCCTTCTCTAGATGTCAGCAAAGCCCCGTCTGTCACATCTGAAAGCATGGCACCAGTTGTGTCTCAGTTACTGCCCTTTGGCAGGCCCAAGTACTAGGAGGGCTATCTGTTTCCCTCCCAAGTGGAAAGAGGGAACATCTGGAGAGCAGACACATGGTCAGTAGATGTTGTCCCCTACTCTTGCTCTTTGGAGACCTGACTAGCAGTCGTGTGTGTGAACTGAGCACCACAGGGCACCTCCGGGCGCTGGCCCTCTACATCACCCACAACAGGAAGAGGAAAAGGTCCAAGCAGAGGCTTGATGTGTTCAAGATACCAAAGTCTTGAGCAGCATCCAGAGCCCAGGACCCCATTGGGTGTCTGAGTTATCTTTGCCTAGGACCCCATTGGGTATCCTAGTTAAGCTTTAACTGTCAACTTGACGTGGCTTGGAATCATCTTGAGAGAGGGGCCAGGTCAGACTGGCCTGTGGTTATGTCTGTGAGGAATCGTCTTGATTGATGGTGGATGTGGGAGGGCTCAGCCCACTCTAGGTGGTACCATTCCTGGGCAGGTGTGCCCGGGTTGTGTTTCAGCTGTCTCTGGCCTGGCTTCTGGCTCCTGCTGACCACTATGTTAGCGTGAGGCCAATAGCCCTGCCCACCCCAGTTGCCAACTGGTCCTCCACTAACAGTGTCGGTGCTGGGAAGTAAGGAGACACCCTTGACCCAGAGAAAGTCAGCTGACCTTGAGTCTCTGAGGATGCTAGACAGAACTAGTCAGCAAGCAACAGACTCCATGGGTTCAGCTTTGAGTTCCAGCTTCAGCTCCTGTCCTGACTTCCATTGGCCCATTGTGACCTGGAAGCGTAAGAAATAAAAGTTGCTTTTGGTTAGAATGTTTTACCACAGAAAGGAAACCAGAACTTTGGGTTCATAGAAACCCCTGCCAAGCCTGGTTTGAGACCCAACACACCTGCCACTCAGAAAGCCTGACAGGAGCCCATTCCCAAGCCTGCCCAAGGCCTACAGAGAAGCTACAGACAACTGTTCTGCCAGATCTAGCCTGAGGCCTTTTATCTGGTACCTTCCTTCTTCGGGTTCCCTGATTAACTGGAATGGCCTGGGAGGTGGAGGGCACCAGCCACAATGATTGACGAGGACACAGAGAAGCACCAGCTCCTCTCAGGCAAACTGTGACAGCTGTCTTCTCTAGGGCATCAGCCACATGCCCATCTTTGAGCAAGAGCCTCAGAATGAAGATAAATCTTTCTGAGCTGTCTCAGTAGCAACAGCCACAGCGCCTTGGGAAGAGACTGTTGAAGCCTCCGTCAAAGGCTGGGTCAAGGGTGTCTCCTTACTTCCCAGCCCCGACACTGTTAGTGGAGGACCAGTTGGCAACTGGGGTGGGCAGGGCTAGTGGCCTCACGCTAGCATAGTGGTCAGCAGGAGCCAGAAGCCAGGCCAGAGACAGCTGGTGCTTCTGAGCTCCTTGCTGCTAAGGAGGCTGCCAATCATACTGCCCTTGGGGCATCTTCCATAGTGGTTCGGTGGAGGCCCTGTGTTCAGGGTCCAGATCTGAGCCTACTTAATTGTTATGACCTAGGGTAGTTAACCTTAGCCTCAGTTACCCCACCTGGTTCGTGCAATGCTAGACAGAAGCAGCCCACCTCAGGGAGGGGGGACCCCTTTGACTCATCCGGGAGGAAGCGTCTACCCCACCCCTTCTAACATTAGAGTCCCACCCCCAGCCCCCAAATAGCCCCTTTTTTCCTTTAAGGCTCTTTTGGGTAGAGTGTTTTACCATAGCAACAAAAAGGAACCGCGAACACTGGCCTGGTCTGGTCTCTAGGTGCTAGGATCATGTACCTGCCACCCAGAGACGCTTTCCTGAAGAGTCTGGTTAGGAAGCAGGCAGTAGCCAGCACTGGAGGAACAGCCCCTGCCACAACATGCCATAGGGAGCAAATGTGGGTCCGTTGTGTAATCAAAGCTCAGGGTTTCAACTAAGGCTGTCTGGCAGTCATGTGTGCCCATCCCAACAGAGGTTCCCGTAGAAAGAGCATTGGAACTGCTGAGAAATCCAGAGCAGAGTTCAGGGATGAGTGAGGCCTCTGGTCTGTCTAACCCACTGCTTGATACTCTCCCAGCCACTTGCCCTGGACTTGGGTCTAGCAACTTTTCTATAGTGCCGTCCCCAAACCCACCTGAGGCTGTGTCCAGAGTCGGACTACTCAATAGCTGTCTGTGGAAAGTCCTGTTCTTCTCTCTAGCAAGGCCAGCAACCAACACCTTCTTCCTCAGATTATCTTCTCCTGGAGCCCCTGTGGGGTGCCACTGATAGGCCTGGGTATCTTGCCAGATGCCGAGGCCTTGGGGTCTCCACAGATTGAAGCCTGTGACTGTGGATCAATGGGTGAGCATACAGACCCTCAACTCTCGCTTGTCCTGTCCTTGCTGCCGTCTGGGAGTACCCAGCCCCTGCCTCAGACAACCTTTTTGGACCAGGCGTGAAATACACATCTGCACCTGGTGTGTCCCTCTAGATCCTCTTCTCTCTTGCTCAGGGCACTTGCAGGCTGGGGTCTGGGTGCTCAGGAGGAACAGGTAAGCTCCCATGGTCTCCAGGAATCACTTCCCTTTGCCACACACAGCTTTGGCATCAAAGCCATAGCAAGACTTCATTTCGGAAGCTACCTTGGAGACCGTCCCTGCTCCCGCCTTCCTCTTTGGGAATCATCCTGACTTTAGGCCCAGTAGGTGAGGAGACAGAGGAAGCGGACCCACAAGGGTCAGGAAGAGCATTCTTGGGGCCAAATTTCACCCCCTCATGGGCACCCAACGGTTGTGCTGGGACCTGGTTGGGGCCTAGTCATGTTCACACCAAGCACCCTGCACAAGATGCTAAGTGTCCTGCAGGGTCAACCTGCAGAGCCTGACGGAACGGTCCTAAGGATGTCTTTAAGCCAGTCATGTTGACTGAAAGTTTTAAGATGTGTAGCTTTAAGGACCTAGTGCCAAAGGAAACCACGTGAGCCACCAGATGATGCTACAGAGGACCAGCCGAGGTGCTTCTGCAAAGCGGAGAGCTCAGAGCTTGGCAATTTTCCTGTGGGGAGAGGTGGAATGGGGAGAGGGAGGAAGAAACCCAGGAAGCTGTAGCCTAGAGGAGGCAGGAGCCTAGCGGGGTATTTGAGGCAGTCTGCCCATTCTGCCCCCACTCCAGATATACTGCAAGGCCAGCAGTTCAAATTCAGGAAGGACTGGAGTCTAGCCAATAACTACAGGCATGTCCTGGTCCCGAGGAGTTCATTGTACCAGGCTTTAGACTCTGGATGGGTTCTGTCTCAACAGAAGAGAGCATCCTATAAATATAAGGGGCCTGAGCAGGCAATGACCTTCCTTCGCCCTCCACAGAGTCTCCTGCACTGAGGAAGAGGAGGCTGGGGAGGGTGCTGGAGGCCTGCTAGTTCCCGATGGCCCCCTGGTGTGTCCTACAGGTACTAGTGTAGAGGAAGCATATACACCTTGTCTCTGCCCCCAAGCTGCCAAAGGGTTGCTGCATTCTTGGAGGAGGGCCCTATCTACGGGGAAAGGGCGCCAACACCCACACCCAGCTATCCAGGACCTTAAGACACAGTGAATTGAGCTTGGCTTTACTTTCTCCCCAGGGAGATACCAGACCTCACTCAGGATCTCCAAGGTCCAGAAAGCAGAGGCTCAAGTCCATTGCAGCATGTGGGTCGCAAAGATCCTGATAGGGCAATGTGTTGGGAGCCCCAGACAGAGAGCCCAGGGGTGGGGTGGTTTCTGAATCTTTCATTGGACCTCGTGCACTGAGTAGTCTGGGGCAGCCAGACACTGCAGCAGGCCAGGCTTCCTGGACAGCATGTGCTATAGTTTGGGTTTGGAGTGGCTCCAAAAGCCCTTCTGTTTAAGGCTTAGTCCCCCAGCTTACTCCCCACTGGGAGGTGGTAGAGCTCCCAGGAGGTGGGGGAAGTAAGGTTACTGGACACAGGAGCTTGAGGGGATTTTGGGACCTCAGACCCATTCTGTCTGTCTTGTTTCCTGGCCACCACAAAGTAAACAGGAGCTATGTACCCCTTACCACCTGGCCAAGAGCAGTGGGACACACAGTTAGGGAGTAGAACCTCTGGTACTTTGTACTGGAAGCCAAAACAAACCTTTGGTCCTTCTGTTTATCGGGTGTTTTTGTCAGAGTGATGGAAAGCTGAATAACATTCCTGGCATTCCAGCTCCGGAATTCTGCCGGTCCTGGATCTGGGAGCTAACCCTGGAGGCTTCTCAGAATCTCATTGTGGGTGTGGCCCATTTACCAGAACTGCCCACAGGCCCTACACCCTGGGCTTCTATTGATGTGTGGTGCTGCCTCACTGGTAGGATAAAAAGAGGCTCAAGGCAGACCAGACCTAAACCCCCTTCTGGATCCTAAGGGGTTGCGTTGAAGTAATCCCACCCCCACCTTGGTCTGTCATCTTTCTGCTGGAAAACCAGTACATTGGAGTCAGCCTAGAATCCTATGCTGTCACCCAGGGTCCTGACACTATCCTACTCCTTTGCAGTTTCCAATGGGCTAAGGCAGAGGGTGTGTGTGTGTGTGTGTGTGTGTGTGTGTTTGTCCTATTCTGCTGTCTATACAAGATTCTTGCCCCTCTGGCTTTCAGTATCCCCAGGAAAACCAAGATAGACTGGCAGCCCTAGCCTGAAGGAGTTGAAGCTGGAATGGCTTTGGTGACTACTGGGCAGTCAGCAACTCTCCAGGGACAGATTGAGCTAACAGGATAGGGGAAGGGGTGTTCAGGTATCCCCTACCTCCACCCCCTTGGCCACCAGTGCCCGCATCTTCAGCATCTTTTAAACTTGCCAGCAGCCACTTACTGTCCCCTGTGTCTGCTCTACCTCCATAGCACTCCTGGATAAGCTGCTACATACTCAGAGACCCCCTGGTCTTCGGGAAAGCCTGGAGGCAGTGTTCCCTGGATTTGCAGGACTTGTTCCCCAGAGCAGAGCAGAGCTCTGATTTCCTGATTCTTGTCCAGGTTCTGCCATTGGGTCTCTGTGGAGGTCATAGATTCAATATGGCGGCATTGGGCATTTCATGATTGCCATCTGCTGCTGTTCCCCATCCTAGAGGTGAAAGACTCCTAGGACGAGCTCTGCCAGTGGTGTTAGCATGTGCCAAGGTCAATGTGTTGTTCTGGTGTGCATCCCACCAGGTAGGGGCCTCCTCCTCACCTCTGCAGCAACCATCAGCAGCACCCTCTTGGAGCACAGATACATATAGGGAAGGGCTGAAAGAGGCTGACAACTCTCATTGTCCTACTCAAATTTCTCTTTTCCTTCCTCAAAATGCTCTGGCTGAAGGACCTGACAGCTAAATGCATGGAGGAAAACCAATCTCGCCAGGGTTTGACTCAGGATCCTGCCGAGCTCAAGGAGCCATGGCTGGTCAAGTAGGTGGGCAGATGCAGGCATGGGTATCCTTGAGGTGACCGATGGTGATAGTGTTCAGATGATGGCCCTAGCATCCTCAGCCAGCAAGTAGGGGCCATCTCTGCGGAGCCTGGAGGCTGTGGAGGTGCCAGGCTCACTTTGTGAAGCTCAGTCTGGTAGTTGGTTCTCTGGAGAAATGGGTAGCAATGATACCCCCAATTCATCTGCTCTAGAGGGCAGGCTAGAGACTTTATTTCTTCCACTCCACTTTCCAGAGGCTTCTGCTGTGTTGCTGCCTGGGGCTTAACAGGTGGTAAGGCATCCAGTGGCTTCCCAAGACTGGGCACTGTCCACCACTGACCCATTTTTACACCTGGACAAGGATCATGGCTGGCTCCCCCCCCACACCTGTCAGGCCACGGCTCAATGCTGTTGGTACACCTCAGCACACCCTGTTGTACTCAACCCTACCTACCTACACTTTCACCAGTGATTGTTTTGTCCCATCCTCCCTGGCAAATTTCTACTCATCCCTCAGAATATCCAGCAGGCTTGAAGGCAGAATGCCACTCACAACTACAGGAAAAAGACTGTTTCCCTCCCTAAGGGCAAAGGCTACACCCACCAAACGCCTCTAATGGTCCAGCCTTCTGTCTCTGGGTAGAGAAAAAGGTGACAAGGGACCCTCTTGGCTAGCCACAAGGCACTAGGCTGCCCCCACTGCCCAGCTGACAGAGGCTCAGCAGTAACCTGGAAGGCTACTCAGGCCCCCAAACTCTTCAGAGTCCCACCCTGGATCCCAGTCCAATAAACACAAGATATCCATTATATACCAAAACATTTAATTGAAATACCTGTATAAAAAAATATGATTTTCAGACACACTTTTGAACTTAAACAACTCCCATCCCTGATGCCTACTCACATCAGGGTCACAAAAACACAGCTGCTAAAATAAATTAAGGGCTTGAGACTCTGTCCCCCACCCCAGCTTTCAGAGCCAGCAAGCAGACTGTACAAGGTCAATAATTTAAAACCCACCCCCCAGTGCAAAGGTGCCCAGGGTGGCAGGGTCCCCTACTTCCCTTAAATTAGCCACTGTACAAGTTCTTCCTCCCACAGACTTGTGGGCTGGGGACCTACTCCAGATGCAGGAAGCAGGATGGGTTCTGTGGGCTGCACGGCCACCCTTGACTGTCCTGTATACACCCCAGGGGCCTGGAGGAGGTGGCTGTTTGGAGGAAGTAACCTCAGCAAATAAATTAAACAATAAATAGCCCCAGCAGGGCAGGGGCGCCCTCCAGGGTGGTCACACCATAAATAAGAGACCCTGGCACGCCTAAGTTGCGTGCCTGGGGTGGCAGATGGGCACCAGTAGCCCAGCCGTTGCATTGCTTGTGCAGACATGCCCAGACGAACACATGAGACTGGAGGGTGGAAGGTGGGCACCACAAAGGTGCTCCATGTCAGACACAGTTGGTCAGGAAGGCTGCCTCCAAGATGCAGCAGCAGGGTAGGGGTCTCTGGTTCAAGTATCCACCCAAGGCAGGCGGGACCTTGCTTAGCCCGCAGCCATCTTTGGACAGAAGAGCTCAAGAAAACCCAGGCCCTGTGGAGCAGCGTTCAAAAAGGCACTCAAAGCAAAGGAAACAGGCCCGGTGCCGAGAGCAAAGGTCACCAGGGGTCAGAGGTCACTGCTTTTGCAGGAGACATCCCAGGCAGAGAATGTTCATTCTGGGAGGGGGCTGGCTAGGCTGAGCCCAGGCCCCCAGTGTGGAGTTCAGGTTCCTCCTCCTCACAAGCTCTCACTGCTGGAAGTGGTGCTGGCTCCGTCATCAGTGTCCAGAGCACAGAGCCGAAGGTCACAGTTTTCTGGAACGCTCCCCTCTGTCCCCAGCATCCAGGGGTGGGCAGCAATTTGGTCCAGTGAGGGCCTCTCTGAGGGCCGCAGGGAGAGACACCACTCAATGAGCTGCTGGCACTCTGCAAAGAGAACAGGGGTCAGAGTCCTACCACCGCACATCCCTGCTCACAACCCAGGTCTAGGCTATACAACACACACCTGGGGAGACCCTCCTCCGGAAAAACAGCCTGCCACGCAAGATTTCCTCGTCCTGCTCGAAGGGAATGTCCCCACACACCATGTCATAGAGCAGTACACCCAGAGACCACACAGTGGCAGAGCGTCCGTGATAGCGGTGATAGCGGATCCACTCTGGGGGGCTGTACACACGAGTGCCTAGGAGAAGAGTCGGGATTAGTAACAATTAAGATATATAATGGAAGCTCGGCCGCACGCACTGGGCGCCCGCCCTCATTAGCTCGCAGCCTGCCTCCACTCTGGCCTCCCGAATCTTGCTTGTCATCACCCTGGAAAAACCCCAACACAGCAGCAGGCGGGGCTCAGGAAAGGAGGGACGTGGCGGGCAGCGAAAGGGAGGTGAAGGCCCACCCCCAAAAGGCCCCACTGCAGGAGCACGTCACATGAGCTCCGGCTCCGGTTTCACAACAAACAGATACAAACGTAAGCTACAAGGAACCAGGCCGGGTGTTCCAGCTCCTCCCGCCCCGGCTTGACTGCTCAGCTCTGCATGGCCAGGGAAAGGGAGGAGAGGAGCTCGGGAAGAGGAGGGGCGGGAGAGACGAGGAGGGAGGAGGCGTGGGGGAGCCCCGGCTTCCCCGCGCTCCGCAATGCGGGGATTTCTACTGCGGCGCCCCCGCGCTCCGCAAGCACGCACGCACGAGAGGGAGGCCCGCGAGCGCCCTCCCCGACACAGGGAGGGGCCAAGGCGCCGAGGCGGCTGGCTGTACCCTGCGTCACGCGCGCACCGCGGGTCTCCCTGGCTGCCACCCACCGTCCCCAGACCCTGCGCCCTAACACCACAGAGGGCTACCCCGGTGTCCCCACTCGCCGCCCCCGCCCCGCCCCCACCCCCCGCAAGTCCGACGCGGCGCGCGGCCGCCCAACAGTCGCCGGAACGCTACACCACCCTGCTTACCGTCAAAGTCAGTGTAGACCGTGTCCTTGAGCAGCGCGCCCGAGCCGAAGTCGATGAGCTTCAGCTCGCCCGAGCGCAGGTCCACTAGCAGGTTCTCGTCCTTGATGTCGCGGTGCACAACCCCGCAACCGTGGCAGTGCCGCACAGCGGCGAGCACCTGCGCGAAGAAGCGGCGCGCCAGGGGCTCGTCCAGGGCACCGCGCTCCGTGATGAAGTCGAAGAGGTCCTGTGCGGGTTCCGGCCGCTCCAGCACCAGCAGGAAGCCGTCGGGC